AGTATAATACAATTATATAAACAATAGTACAGCAAAGCCTACTAATTTATGGACAACTTTCCATAACGAAAACTTCATAATGGTGAAAATTGTATGTTTGTTTATAATTTGCAATAAAAACAAAATTACATAATGGCTAAAAATAAATATTCAAACTAAACGACTAAATAATGTAATAAAAACAACTTTTTCAAATATTTAATTAACTCTTTGAGTTATAAAGTATTTTTTTTTTTGTAAAAAATATAATTATTCTCACTTATCAATTAATCCTATGCATTTTATATCGAACGTAGTATTCCCTCTTGTATAGTAAATTTTTTTTTACATATTTCAATATACGAGTATGTGTGAAATTTTTATAGATAGTATATTTCATTATGGTCGAAAAATGTTAATTAAAGTGTTTAAAGCTGAATTTTCAAATAGATAATTGTTAAATTTTATGTAATATTCGATTTACCTTGCACTCCATTTTCTTGTCAAATTTAAAAGAAAAATATTCAAACTATTTTAAAATAGGCTATAACTATATTTTTTTAAATGATTTGAGAATAATAATTCACACCTAAGTAAAAGTAAAAACACAAAAATTATATATCTATGAAGTTGTTTCTAACTTCAAATGATATTTATGTAAAATTATAATTTAATATTTTAAATGAAGAATTTAGGCACGATTATGGGTTGATAATAATTTTTTGTACTGTTTCTTTAATATTCAATAATAAGCTCGTAGTGAATAATAAAGTACATATTTAATAAAAAAAAATAATATTAAATTAATAGCAATCAACTTTTTGTATAATTTTTATCGTTCTACTTTTATAAATTTTAAAGTTTATAAAGAATATGGAAATTTTGAAAAAAAACATTAATAAAAATTGCCATTAGTAATTAATATATTAATAATTTTTTATTTTTAACCATAAAAATGGTAAATAATGAACATTTTAAAATTAATTTTATAATTATTATTTCATTATTTTTATTGAAATCTGTAATTTATGTTTGTCCTTTCTGAGAAATTTGGAAATTAAATTACGAATAATTTCCTTTTAAATCAATAAAATTTAACAATGATAAGAATAAAAATAATATTATTTATAATTTTTTTTCAGGGGTTTATGCAAGAAAAATATGATTTTAATAATAATTTAATGCGGATTATTTTTAATTATAATATATTTATGTTATTATTTGTCCTAATTAAATATATTACTGATGTTAAATAGGAAAGAATGAAAAACTTAGTCCCTAGCAACTGCAGTATACCTGAGATATTTTTTTTGAACATCCTGTACTTACACATCTTCTTCTTTTCTTGGCTAAATCATCAGGCAACTATCTGTCCCTGTTGTTTACTACATATTTTCAGTTCTCGATACTCAGCTTCATTAAATCTTTCTCTACTCTATCCAGCAAACTTTTTCTGGGTCTGCCTCGTGTTATTCATCCTTAAGGTATCCATTCGAGGGCTGTCCTTACTGGTTCGATTTTTTTTCGATGCCTTGATGTAACCAAGTCTTTAGTATTTTATGAAATTAGTTATCATTCCCATTTCTACAATATTCTGTTACTCTCTGTTGTGTCTACTTTGCAGAATCATAAGTATACATAATTCATATTTAAACAATTAGTATATTCAATTTAAAAATCAATGATATGAAATCAATTTGAAATTATTAACAAAAATATTTCATTAAAATCGTGGTAATCCCCATTTCCTTATTTTTTATACCTAGTAAATTGAAAAATTATATAATAAACATCATATAATAATCATTGTCAGCTTATAATTTATCATCACCAAGTCTTCTCATATTCTCAAATAACTCATAATCATGATTTTAAAAGATATTATGATAATTATATATACTGAAATATAATAAGATACACCTTCCTATTCTCGTTTAATTTTCCTGATATTACAATTTACAATTATCAATTACAACTCATATAGTACTATCAATAATATAGAACCAGTAATTTATTTTTAATCATCTAATGATCTATCGAGACTAATTACTATATATTTCAATTTATAATTATATTTTTTCCAACTCAAAAATTGTATTCGTCATGACACATATCTGTTTGTTGGTTTAATAGCAGACATGCATTTTTCAGTTGATATATTAGCATTCGTCAAAAATACTGAACATACTGTTAACCATATGGTACAGTATTAGATAAAAATTTAAATATATACTTACTTCATCTTATATCTAACACATTTTTTATAAAATCATTCAAGTTTTTCAAGTGAATACGTCAAATAATAATGAACTGGCTAAAGCCCGAGACTAAAATTCAGGTCATACGACATTTTTAAGTGAAAACTGTTTGTCATGTTAAATTTTTGCAATGGAATGTATTGTCAAAAATACGTACGGTGAATTTAAAGATTCGAGTTGTATTTGTTTTAGCATAAATATCCAGTCATTAATTTTAAGATAGAAGAGGTTTTTTAGTAAAATATGCATTGGCTTTATGTCGGAATATCTGGCTACCTATTCTTGTTGAACGGTAAATTAAATGTACGCATAACTTTGAACAGAATAGGAGAATTACACTACACATAGAAACAATATTTTATTACGATAAGAATTTAATTATTTACAAATAATGTCATAATAATTACGCAAAAATTTTGTCTTTGAATACATTTCCCTTCAAGACAACAAACCAGTATAAATAATAGTAAGACTTACTTAATAAATACTAATTGTACACAGATTATGTAATATTCAGAATAAAATATCAATAAAATGTTATTATAAATAGTGAAATACAATAGGAGTCAAAACATGGACCTTATAAAATAGTATAGCTAATATTTAACCTGTAGTAGGCAATTAAATTATGATTAAAAATTCCTTAAATCCTTACATTATTATAAAAAAAATTGCTTAATACATTATACATTTTAACATATTCTTAAGTGTAAACAAAAGCACATAAAAAAAAACATATTCTTAAAACTTTTTAAGTTTACTATAGTAAGTATAATTGATCTCATTCATCAAATATTGATGTGTTATAAGTATTTCGGAAAGATTTGTTCTAGGGAGGGGTCTAAAATATCAGCTTTCAATATTTATCAATGGTAAACAATTAATGAACCATGTATTATTTTGACATATTCAAACATAAAAACTGAGATTATAACAACATGAAAACATTTTAATCAAAATTAAAATGCGTTTAAACGCTTTTAATAACCAGTCAAATGACTTAAACGTACTCGTAATATCTAGTAAAGACCGTAGTTCAAAACGTACGTTTATTAACACGGCAATTCCGGCGGTACTAATTTATTTTCCCATATAATTTATTATACATAATCAAAATTAAATTTTATATAACTATAACCGCTTGTTATAATAAAAAGCGCGGTGCTTTGTCATCGTAGATGATATTTTAAACTAAAATATTTAATATTTCTTTAACTATCTACGTTTTCTATATAAAGAGCAATGTAAATCTCATTACGGTAAAAGGTTTTCGTTTGCTCTATTTATTGAACATGGCACGCCTAATGAGCCAAAATTATACGTTCAATATGTTATATGTGTGCGTGTGTTTGTGTATGTGTATGTGTGTGTGTGTATATCATATCATACGTAAGTATATATTATGTATTATTATGTAATTGTAATTTTAGTCTTTGGTAAAGTACTAACGTATTGAAATATTTACATGTATACGGTCGAGATCAGTCCACTCGTCAGATATATGAAAAGTACCTATCCGTAGATAGTATACCTTCATAATATAGGTACTACCATTAATTAATAAATACAGTTTCAAGTAACCACGCCCACGTGAATGTGTATTCATTAAAATGATGAAAAAAAAAGATCTAATGAAATTTGTAAATAAGATATCCGTAATGTTCTCTGGCTAATTGCAGAATAAATAATTATTCTTGCATCGAGAATCTCGGTCCTTCATACCACTTGTTGTGTACATAATATTATACAAAAAACTATTCAGTATAAAAATAACAATTAAAATAGCCAACACCGGTCAAAGCAATTAAATATGTTTCATTATACACTCACACACACACACACACATATGTTCATACTCATATACATTTTATACCTGTACGTATACTTATTCCCGTGAAAAAAAACAAGTGGAGCGTTATTGTTAAGTTCACTATCTGATAAAAGTCAACGGACCATTGAAAAAAGAACATTAAAAAAACTTTTATCATGATAGTTTTTAGTGACATTTAAGAGTTTTCTCAGATCTAGATCTCATTACATGAACATAATATATTTGTTCGAGTATGGATGTACCTTCAAAATAATTACCATCCCGGTAATCTAGGGGCCGTGACGAGATTATCGCGTTTAGAACATGTACACTTGGAATAACTAAAAACAATAAAAATTACCGTGTGTTTTTAAATACTTTACAAGTAGAGAAATTACAAAAACTCATTAGCAATATTAATAATATAATACCAACACAAATAGTAAAAACAGTAAGTTATAATTATCGAAGAAAACTAAATGGGCTGTACAAAATCTACAGAATAATTAAAAACTTTTTAGACAGAAAATAATAGACGTTACTTTTATAAATGAAATTTCCAACTCAAAATTAAATGGTCGATTCTAATCCAACGCAAAGCGTATTTTATAATATAGTTAAGGCCGTATCTTCATTTTTACAACACTCGTTTTTAAAGCAATTCAACTTATATTAATATTTTTCTTACATGGGTATTTTTAAAATATACATTCAATCTCAAATAAATATAATGTAAGCCGTTTTACTTTTTTTTGTTATCATTTCTATAATATCCTTCAACAGCAGGAGAATCGTATGTATAATGTTAGAATCGTACTACAACCATAAAACAGAACCGTAGATATGATAGTAACGTAGTAGATCGTATGTACATACATCATCTAGTCTCAACCAAACGTGCTCTCACGTGAATTTATATCTCTTAGTTTTTTAGTTGATCATAAACTTGTAACAACAGTCTCTTTAACACGGAACACCGATGGCGGCTAGTTCAGAACACCATAGTGATAATCCTTCAGTTGTGATGTACGTGTAGTGCACGCGTTTCCATTGTAATAACGTACGACTAAAGCGCATGCACTTTTGTCTCCAAGGACACGACCCATCACATCCAACCGGCGTGATGACGGTGTGATTGCTCTCGCCGTAATGCACACGGAAGCGTGTGATAAGAACACAGCCACCGTACGCACGAGACTCAAACCAGTGCAAATAAAACCGAAAGAAAATAATAACGGGTGAAGGAAATGGAAAGAGAAAAAAAGAAAAAAAGAGCTTTTACCACAACCGCGATCGTGTGAATCGGTTCGTAGTGCACACACACACGCGCACGCACTCTTGGAAATATCGTGTAAGTACATGCGAAGAGCAGTGTATTTCGTGATGAACACTTTTTCTGAGGGGAAACATTGTTGCAGACTCATCACGGCATCACAATGGACGTTTTTCGAACGCAAACACGGCGGCGGCAACGGTAACGGACACATCCTATGAGTGTTGACCCTTACCATAGGGGTCAGTCTACGCCTGCTTCGAGGAACGTGTGCAGTCATGGTCTGGTGTACACACGCACAACTACACACAGGTACGAGATACGACCAACACAATATTATTACAAATAAAATATAAAATCAAATATTTATAAAATCAATAATTAATATACCTCTACACGTGAAAAAATTTACTTGCAACTAATCATCGTATATCTTTATTAGGATGTTATTATTATTTATTTATATAAATAGATAAATTATTATTTTAAAAATAATAAAACTAAAAAAACTATGCTATGGTGGCCATGTATAATCGTAAATGTGATGGTGTACCACGAGGACCGACGAACAAGGTACGCGTGGAAGGAGCTCGGGTCACCTTTTTCTCTAACGATTCCGCATGACAACAACAATATTTATTCGGATATAATTATGACAGTGATTGTTGTGCAGCGATGATTACTAGAGCAGCGCCGACGTGTGGTCACGATTTTTTATTTTTATTTATTTTTATAAACATAAACAGTTACAGTAAAATAATATACCTATACACCTCTCATGTGTGGCGTAAAAATATGTTCCGTGGACGACAGTCTACGTTGAACCGTACGTGTATACTATGCATACGCTACTATTTAATAATATGCACATTGATATTATACACATATTAAGGCACATACACCGCAAAGAATTTTAATTAACTCACCGTGTGCATTTTGCATTTAACGATTTTTTTTTATTTTCTTTATATTTTATATAGTATATAAAACGCAATGTGTACATGTATATTGTAACACCTTCGTATAACATTTTTACCGTCAATTAATATAGAATCTACCGTTATGTACACATTAATTCTATATTTTGTGAATTTCAGATATTGCAGTTAAACTGAATTCACTACATGTGATCTTCGGTTTACTTACAGCGTTGCCGAATGAGTAGAAGAGGTAATAGTTCTAAAAAGTATGCATGATGACCACCAAGGTATTGTGTATAATTAAAAACTGTAAAACACAAACAATTTATAAATCTATAAAAATGTTTAATGTGTGTAACAAACCTACACACGTCCCCTCGGGTCGGATCCGGCAAACGATAACGTTCCTTCCTGCCCGTGACGTCATAAAATTAGGTTATTAGATTTTAAATACCATTGAAAAAAGAAACTGAGTCGATCATTCGGCTGTACTTTATTATATGTTAATGTATCGTTCGTATAGAAAACTATTGCGTTATTTCATAAAAAAAAAAAAAATATTAATAATAATAAATAAGCAGTTCGCACTGTAACCTATCATATTCACTATTAACTTTATATTTCATACACAAAGACATTTTATTTTTTATACAGATAATACTTATGGTGAAATATCATGTTACAACAGTTAATTTTTATTGAAATATAAATAAAAATAAACTAATTCAGTCATTTATAAATGTAATATATTTGATAGTGAAGTAAAAAGCATTATAATGTTGTTTGTACTGTAATACGCGAAGTATATTTTTTAAATTATTGAATTTGATCTACAATTTGATAAAAGTTCGACGTATCAAAAAAATATTTATACATATATATAGGTTAGATTATAATGTAGGTATAATAATTTAACAACTTAATGCTTATTACAAATATAAACAATTTAATTTGAAGTTAATGGTTTTTATTCGTTAAGTACTCGTATAGTATATACTTATTATTTTATGATTCCTCCATTTTTAAGATAATTTTTTATATATCTTAGCTTTGACGACATAAAATTATAAATACCAAACGTAGTGTCCGCAATCAAAACTTTAAGTGTACACGTACGTTACAAATATGTAAATATATTTTTTTCTTCAAATACTAGAACTATAACATTTTACAAAAATCGAGTAGGTATCTCGTGTACAGATTATATCTCAAAACGTTTTTTTGAATAATATTATAATATCCAACATTTTTGGAAGGAAACGCGTACACATTCTTTCTTTTACACAGATTACGTCATTTTATATTAAATTATTGAGGATAGATCTAAGCATAGATATTTCTACGAATTTTTCAGTTAGAATATCTAGATAAAACATTTCATTTCGACATTTTATTACGTTTGAATCATAATGTACGTCGTTTAACCTGCCTTACGTGTTCGTATGTATACATTAAGTTGGTGTGATACTATATATGTTATTATTGTGTACAATATAATAATTTTTAAAAACGTTACGTTACTTAAGACAGTCATGAACGACCGTTGAAAAGACTTTCAATATCATTACGAATATGATATTAGACGTGGATGCTTCCCCCTTAATGTCACTATGAGATTTATACAATATTACTGTGTCTTATGATGATCTGCAGTTGTATTGTGCAGTAGGCAAAAGTATTGAAAGACTCTCTGAGAAGCTTTTAAGCACACCACGGCGTAATCAACAACAATACGGCGACAGTGTTCAACAATCAAATGGTGTAGATTTCCTCGACGATTTCGCTTATCTACACTTGAAATGTATTATAATATCGTAATATTCGTGTTCTCGTACTACATTAATCTTTATATATTGTCCTTCTCGATATTTAATTTGAATAAAACATAATGACACGGAACGTTCGAAGTACACAACTGCAACCGGACCAGGTTGACCGCGTTATGCTGCGTTCATAATAATGGTAGCCGCTCTTCTTATTGTTCACGTTAACTGGTTTATCACGAACTGTTATACTGTACAACGACTTGCAACGGTTTAGCGATTTTGATTAACTTAACCGATGAAAAAAGATCACGCGCATAACGCAGCTCACCGGCTGGCCGGCAGGTACACGACATCGTTTTCAACAGTGCTCTCTGTCTCAAAAACATAGCAAACTGCGGATACAAAATATTCGTCATAAACACTACAAGTCAATCAAAATGCGCTCGTCCTTATTTTTTTCCCCTCCCCCGCCATCGACGACTTTTACCATAGGGCCAAATCTCTAAAATATGTACGATCGGACAATACGTCTGAAATTATGACATACCGGCCGACGTCGCCACACAACACTCAAAGAGTCGTATTGTGCATACACTCACTCGTACACTGCACAAACGTGGTTTGCGTAATAACCGTAATTCATTTTCCTAACACGTTCTTATTTAATTTATGTCGGAAAAAAAAACCAGAAGATAAACTCGCGTGACTTGTTGAATTTTAAGAAAACCAACAGATGTGATCTTCTCAACAACAAAAAAACGACGCGCTTGACCCACGTATAGAGTTTTTTATTTTTAACGAAATTTCACATGATAAAAACGTTATTGTTTGTAAACTAGAGCACGTACGCGATCACCGTTTACAAAACCGAGTTAGAACACGTCGAAGCAAATAATACATAACCAATACATCAGTATATTATGGTTGTAATACGTGCGAATGCAAACGATCACGCATAAGATGTTATATACATCTATATGGTATGGATTCTATACAGAAAGAAAATAATTTTTATCTATACCTAAGCCATAATACTACGCATAACTTGGTACGATAAATGAAACTATTGAAACAATTTATTTTTTTTTTCACGAGCATAATCGTATGCAGTTCTAGTAGTATAACGAATTAGTTAAACATTTCGGAGTTGATCTACCTTTGGAAATTTTATATGATAAAAAAGTGTATATAATATATATATATATATATATATATATATATTTAAAAAGTTGTTGTTTTTTTTTCGTATTACTGCAAAGCGTTAAACGAATACTGGTCGTAGTTTTTTCTAATGAAATCACAACGTGGCAAAAACGACGGCAGTTTAATTGAAAAAGAAAAAAAAAACTCGCCAACGCTAATCGTTGCTATGCCACCGATGTAGTAATGTAAAATTATTACAACAACGGAGTATGATATGGAGAACTACATAATCTTGTACGCGTTCGATTCCAACCCGACGGAGATAAAAAACGAAATCCGACTTTATTATACAAACAATATACATATACACGAGTATGTATTTACAATATAGAAAAATGTTAATGGACGCAAGGTACACGGATGAAAATCGTGTGTAAACATTGTAATAAATAAAAAAACAATTACAACGGTTCCGACACGATTTGACCGGTCGACAGCTTGCGCTGCACATTTTTATTTTATATGTGTACGATTATATTAAATATTGTAACGTGTATATACGCGCGGTATACGGTAAAATAATTAAAACATCAAACCGTTTCACTCGGATCGTATGTGTGTGTGCGCGTGTGTGTGCGTGTGTGTCGAACGTTCGGCATCCGCCGCCGCCGCCGCGCGGTATACTATATAATTTTAATTATTATTATTATAATTATCGCTATGTTTGCGGAGCACGACAACCGATTAAGCGGCCATCACGGAACGCCGATAATGACGTATCACATTACCATCGTATTATTCGCACTGCACCGTAGATACGCGCGTGGAGGATACACATACGTGCGCGTACGCTACTCGTGCACTTTCGTGAAATATACTTAAAAAAAAAATAAAACAAATACGTTATGCTTAGGCGTGCGGCGTACGAATGGAAATAATAATGGTCGTATATTGTGCTGTGTACATAAGGCACGACCGCGCTGGAGTGCTCTGGACTTGGCGCAGTCGATGATGATCGTCTTCGTCCGTCGTCTTCTCGTTACGTTTCGGACGTGTACGTGCCCGGTATTATTTAGACGTGTAACGCCGCCTATCGCGTACGCGCACAACTATTTCGTGTTCGTGCTTGCGCCACCGTCCGAAACGATGGAAAAATAAATAAATAAACTTTCTCCGTACGACTGGTGTGAAATATGAGAATATGGTTTATTTTTTTTATTTTTATTTTTTTTTTATTTTTATTTTTTTTTTCATTTGCTGTTCAAAATGTTGTAACACGTCCGTTGCACCTGTCGTACGGCCACCACGACAAATCGCTGCTGTTCCCAAAGAGAAACGGAAATTCGTAAATCGCACAAAAAAGGTCTCGTAACCTCCCGAAGTGTACGTGTGCGCGTGTCCGCGTTCACCTTCTGGTATTATGCACACACCGTTAAGCGGCTTGATATTCTTCTCCGACTCGTTTGTTTCTAGACGGACGTACACCTCTATGATGATTTTCTATATTCAAACGTGCTGGTTCAACATTCAAAACGTGAACAGCACAGAACAATCGGACGTACGTATATTAATAATAACCAATTATTCAAAACTCAAAAATTAAAATTACATAATAATGTAACAACGACAGTAAAAACTAATAACCGCTAACTAAGAAATAATAAGAAAGAATGAAAACACCGAAATCTATTCCAGTTGAAGTATTTATAAGAATGGAGTGTCGGTGTACATAATGGAAATCGATAATTTGATTACCTATGATAACATGTACACACTGATACAAACAATAGCGGTTTTGATAGTGTTAAAATTTTGGTTTTCAAAGCACAATATAAACTTGGTTTTATACCAACCGAATTTTTACATTTTTTTTTAATAAGTCTAAATGCAGTTTATAAGTGGTGAGAATGATACAATTTCAAAAGCTTGGAAAAAATAAATATAGTTGGCAAATTTAAATATGACGACAAATATATTTTATAAATCTATGTTTATACATTTTATAATAATAATTTATTACGAGTAGAAATTATTTTTAATATAGCTTGTACTCTATGCAATATATTTTATATTTTAGGTAGTTAAAAGTATTAAATAAAAATAATATTATATAATGTTTAACTTTAAACAACCAAAAACCAAAAAAAAGTAATACTTATATATCATATTGCTTTTTTGTTTAGTGACCAAATCAATTATTGCAACAGGTCTTAATTATGTAAAAGGAGTTCAAGTACACCATTCACGTTTTGGTGACTGATTATTATTTACTTTTATTAGGAGTAAAATTATTTCAATTATTAGAAAAGTTATCTAGTAAAAAGGGTTCTAACCAAGGGCGCCCATAGGAAAATTCTCAAGGGGGGACAACATTTTAATTTATCAATCTATTCATAAATAGGAATGACCCACGATATAGGAAGGGGTTTACAATTTTACATTATATATATCAAAATGGAAGACTATAAAATAATAATT